AAAATTTTACTCGTCATAAAACGATAAATAGTTTGTCAAATTTTTTTCATAAAAATGCAGTTTTAACTGCTTTTTATTCTATAAAATCCGTCTTCTTGCGCCACTAGAGGGCCTTTTAAACAATAGGTAGTCTGTTAGCGTTGGTCGGTAGTAGTCCAAATTCAATACGAACGTTTGTTTCTTGTAAATTTCATCACGATTTAAATACAGTATTTACTTTTAATATTACCAATATGTCATCGAAAAGAAAACGTGTTGTATTATCAGTAAATAACAAATTAAAATATCTGTTTCGATTATCCAGATTTTTCTTTATCCGGACTACCTTCTTCCCCAATTAGTATGGATAATCGAGGTTCTGCTGTATATATTATCTATATTTTGTCTATTAATTATACTCAATAGAACAAAGCATTGTATAAGTAATTGAATATTTTAAATTTTATTCTAGACAGAGCAAAATTCTACTTTGCNAACGTTTGTTTCTTGTAAATTTCATCACGATTTAAATACAGTATTTACTTTTAATATTACCAATATGTCATCGAAAAGAAAACGTGTTGTATTATCATTAAATAACAAATTAAAATATCTGTTTCGATTATCCGGATTTTTCCTTATTTGGACTACCTTCTTCCCCAATTAGTCCGGATAATCGATGTTCTGCTGTATATATTTTCTATATTTTGTCTATTAATTATACTCAATAGAACAAAGCATTGTATAAGTAATTGAATATTTTTAATTTTATTCTAGACAGCGCAAAATTCTATTTGTCATTACGTACAAAAAATACGAATTTACTACGATATTCATACTAATCGATTTTGAATATTGTAATTAGTTAAAACAATAATTACATATAATAGTCAACTTTACAATTTTCTAGTTTATAGTGTATCTTATTGCATAAATTTGATATATGAGAAAAATATCGCGAAAATTTCAAAAAAGCACTTCCATTGCATGGAAATTCTTTCGAAAATATTATGGATTCAGAAATATGTTCTGTTGGATAAATCAGTGTATTTGAAATATTTATAAACCTCATGTATCGTAAATTACACTATCTTTCTCATAAAAAATTAATCACTCGTTAAGTACATATACTATAAATCAACGTATAATATATTCATAATATTAAAACTTACTTTCGTTCATTGTAAAATAAAATTTTAT